GTAGATGAACATGGCAGCCAATTTGCAAATCGCAACATCCAGCAAATGGCCATGAATGATCAATGTTTTCATATTTAGTGAGTGCTAGCTAGCCAGGACACCAGGAGAAGCACCCTTTTCTTTTCAAATGGTCCCATGAGATCTTTATCATCCACTTGTTCAGACAAACAGGATCTCAGTTTAGCACCTCAACCAAAGGACACCTCAAACAATGCAGCACTTCTCCAGCACTGCATTGGATAGTTAGCCAAGACTGCAAGCTCAAAATCCTTATTTGTGTCTTGAATCTGCAACATTTTGACTCGGAGGGAACGTGCTGAAAATGTGTGGTTTTGGAAGGGGAGATAAATTAAGATTTTTGATTTAAATGATTGAATGTCACTTTTATTTTTCTATACATTAAAGAAGAAGGTGTTTTATTGTAACTGAGCATGGAAGTTGCACTCACTTGCCTTTGGCTGCAGGGGTTGCATGTAAGTTACATTAATGTTTCTTAAAGTCAGTGTTAAATTTTGTCAGCATGGAAAACTAGAAAACTGAGGCTCCACTAACTTGCCCCTTTGTGGAGCTTCAGCTTGGCAAATAACGTTTTGAACTTCTGAGTAACTGAGCGGGTTAGACATGCTTCACAAAATAAATATATATCCAGTGCAATGTGACTGTTTTGCACTTTAATTCTATTCATCATTAGGAATTCAGAAACATTTTGTAAATATGCAACACATTTGTCATTTTCAAGCTATCAGTACTCGGAGGTTGTCAAGGAGCTCCTCCGATGGCTCAATTGGTTAAGGTGCAGACTTTATGTGCCATAGTACCTGGAAGCTTCCAGGTTTGATTCCTTGTCAGTGTTCCTATTGTTTTGGCTGGGGCAGCAGTACAGATGCTTATGATTACTGCCAATTTTAGTCAGAGAAGGAAAAGTCATTGACCCTTCCTTGAAAATGTTTTGTTTGTGGATATCAGGTGAGTATAAAATTGGGCTTAGAAGAAAAGCAATTTGATTCAAAAAAAAAGATTTCATAATAGTATTTCTACCAACCACTTGAGGCCACAATTAAAACATATTTGGGATCTTTTAGTACAAAATAAAAATGTGTGCACGTTTTCCATTGATTTGGTTTTAATTTAATGCCATGACATGTGTACTAATGGATCTTTTTTGTTCTGTATGCGACCTATTATTAACTTCACGTTCCTCAAAGTTAAATATAGGGCGGCAACATTTAGGCACAAACTAAAAGTGATAATGGAAACGCTGAATAATGGTATGGAAGTTGATAAGAAATTGATATATAATATTGGGTGCACCTGTTAATATGACTATCAAATGTTTTCCTAAATATGGCCATGTAAAACGTTTGTGATAGGGCATTAAAAAAAGGTCAAGTTTCAAATATTAGAGATGATATAACTGAGTATGGGAATGGTTCTAAGCTATTTTGATCAGATCAGAAATTACTGTTACATGTGCTGTTTAATAAAGGAATGCGGTAAATGTTATGGGACAAGAATGAGTTACTTGCAAAGCTTTGCATCTATAATTTTTTATAATATTTCCTTGTGAAATGGTGTCCGTTGCTTTTTGACTCCCCTAGTTCAGAAAACCAAGTACACGGGTGCTGTGCGGAAACCTTGGATTCCTTGGGACCTCCCCTCACCTGCCTCAAACAGCCCCACTCCATTCAAACCTCTCCATTCAAACCTTATTTGATTTCGGATCGCAAAATCTGATCGGTAGTTATGCAATTCAGCGCCTTGGGATGCCCTCCTGACGTGAAAGGTGCTATACAAATGTAATTTTGTATTGTGTGTCCAAATCAATCAAATATTTTAGTTATACATAAGTTCACTAAATTTAGTTCCACACCAAAAACGGAATGCTTTAGAGTGGCCCCGATGGCCTAGTCAGTAAAGGCACCACCCAGATACAGCACAATGGAATACACACCAAAATGTTACAAATACAATTCTTGTGCCACTCTGTGATAATTGATCTTGGCTGTGGGATATTACAATTTAATTTGGTAGCCTTGGACTTTGGAGAGTTGCTTTGATCGCTATTCAGTGACTGCTGTAAAATATGCTTTTGTAGATATCAAATAAAATCAAACTTTAGTGTGATTCCCTTCTGGAGCCAAATAGCTTGCAGTCACTCGTGTGTGAAGAATATCCATTTGGGCATTGTATCAAACAGCTACTAGATTGCGTGGAATTATACCCAAAGAAGAGCTTGCTTGTCCTGCCTTCAGGAAGGGAAGAGAGAGAAGTAATAAAAGAAAGGTGGCAAGAGTTAAAAATGAAAATAGAAAGAAATCGCCTATATATGCTGTCCCAAATACTCCTTTTCTTTCCCTGGATTTGATATTAGACTACAACTTACACTGCTAGATTTATGCTGCACTTTAGAGCATTGGGTCGCCACTATGCCTTTCCACGTCTAAAGAAATTGTATAAACCCATTCACTTTCTAACTCCAAAAGGAGCATTTGATCTCCAAATATTTCCAGTTGACAAAGGATGCCAGTATTGTGACCTAGCAGGCTCATTCTGCACCTGCTTTTTGATTTCAATTATCTGAAGTCTGATGCAACAAAATCCTACTTAGGGTACCACTGCAAACAATGATATCTTTGCGAGTCATTCAAAAGGAATTCTGGTTCAGGTTAATATGATTCTCTGTTAATGAGAAAGTCATAAGGAAGCCCATGTTGTGATACCTGATTATACAACTACCTCCATATGGCAGCAGTAATACAAAGCTGTCTGTTTAGATGACGGAAACTACCCCCCCCCCCACCCCGGTCATTCACTTTGTGGGCATTTGAGCATTACTCGTGCTCAGTTCTCCTTTTTCACTGTCCTCCCCGCCTTCTTTCCCTCCTTGATCCACAGCTTCCAACCTGGGAATTCTCCACCCGATTCATCATGGCCAGAACTGTTTCCCCTCAAGACCTTTAAACTCCTTTCTAATTTAGTTTGAAAACCTTAGGCTTCTGGGCGATTATTACAGGAATGCTTAAAAGTTAAACCCTGAAAAAGTAGCAAATTACTAATGTTGTAAATCACTATATAATGCCTTTATATCTAGAAGTTTGTAAAGTCACTTTTTAGAAGGAAACTGAACATTATGGACTAAGAACTACCCTGGTTCACACAAGCCAGACAGCAATAAGAATGGTAAAATTGGCTTCAGGATTTCTGAGCTAAGAAGTGAAATTCAGGCAGGTTTTCTGTTTTTTCAGGAATATTTCATTTAACTAAGTGCCTATATAGAGACGCGGTTGCAACATGTAAAAGGCCTTTCAACTCGATTTTAAGTGTTTTTACCTTATCTACCTTACGGGTAAGTTATTGAGACATTAGATGGTCATTTACCCCTTTTCTTCAGGGTACTAGTCTGCAGCAAATCATGAATTCCATGCCAAGTATATAGACATGGAGCGGGCATACTGGTAATCATATTCGTGTCTTCTAGAATAGGATCGCGTTTGTGTGTGTGTGTAAGGTTGTTTCATACAGATTGAAGAAAACAGTGAATGTTGAAAAGCTGAAACAAAGCCAGAAAATGCTGGAAATCTACAGCAGATTTATCAGCATCTGAAATTTTTTTGGGGTGCAGCATTTCATCAGAAACTTGAACTTGTCATTCAATGCAGATCATTTTGCCATACATTTCCTTTATATTCTGCTTTGAAACCGCAAAGGGTTTCAAAAAGTAACTCGACTAGTACCTGACGTAAATGTTTTAGGGTTTTTAGATTTATAGAGAGATGCGTTGAAGCAATCTTGAGAGAAGCTAAATGCATAATTATGTTGGTCTTTGGTTTACTCCTTTCTGAAATTGGTACTATGTTTCTTCATACTGGTATTGCGTGAGGTTATACATTTCAAGATGCTTGATATGGATAAAACCTTCCATGCTTCCTCCTTAATGGTCTATGCTGAGTTTACTATTCTGGATGTGATTATATACCTCTCCCATTTTTTTAAATGCATAAAAACATAAAATGTGTTTTTATCTGATTTTGTTTTTAGTGTTTTATGTTGCACTGTCTGAGGTCAGCTCAGTCCACACAAACTACAGACTGAACCTTGGACTTTACTGGTCAATGTGGCTCGATCTAACACCATTCAAGTTGCTAATGAATCATTACAGAAGTTACAATAATAAATCTCAGGCATACTGTATTTGTCAAAAATAAATTATGATTGTGGTCAGGATTTTAGTTTTAATACTCGCCTAAAAGAAGAGCAATTTGAAGTCTGCTTTTGTGATCAGCTCAGCATAAATGATCTATTTCCACTAACATTATTCAGGAATGGTGATTGTTTTATCATCACATATTATTTGCATACTATTTATTTTCACATTCCTTTCAAATACTTTTCGATCATCAAGAACTTAAATATTCTTAAAAAGGATTTGTGGTCAAAATAACTTGAGTAATACATTCACTAATTCAATACCTAGTTTCCAGTATAAATTTAGTTTTATAATTTTATCTACACAACAATTTTTGCTACACTTGTTGAGAGCAGCCATTGATTTCTATGGAGAGATAGTTGGCCTTTTGTTGCCAGATGATGTCACTTTGCTGGTTGATATTACATGGAAGTTTGTGTGCATTTTTTCCCTTCCGCAGATGGCATAATGACCATTAATATTGTGAGGGGAGAGGGGAAGACAACTAGTGTGTGGGAGTGGTGGGGGAATAGATGATGCTCTTCTTATTTAACTAGTAAAAAGTATTTTGTGAAATATATCTTTTACAAAAACTGTTCTTTCAACTGTTTGACTTAATTTCCCATTTAGCCGGCAGGAGTACATTCATTTTGCAAGTATTTTCAGCAATCAAAGTAGCAAATCATACTTTTTACAATGTTCATTTTTTCAGACATGAATGAAATTATAAAAATGAAGGTACAACAACAACAAAATTACATTTGTATAGCACCTTTCATGTCGAGAGGATGTCCCAAGGCGCTGGGCAAAAAGGCAGAACAACAAACTGGATGAAGTGTTTATTTTGGATCCGGTAATTTACTCTTGAAGTGATTTTCTTCTACTTTCTCTCCTAAAAGTTGCCTCTCATACCTGCGTATATAATTCCATGAATGTTGACTGGCCATTGGCACTTCATGAAACCAGCAATTTGATGTGTGAAAACCTAGAACGTTGCCCTAGTGTGAATTCCAACCCCCCAAATAAGTTGTACTACATGCTTTTGGTCAATGTTTTAATTCAAACCTCATTACATCAACTCTTACACAAATTAATTATTTCCCAAGAGTGTGGAAATCTTTTACCACCCTCAGGCTTTCCTTCCTTCTACAAACCTGCACACTTTCAAAACCCAAGATTGGTGTTGCCTAACACACTTGATTTATCTAGTCTTTTGCTATTTTCCACCGTAATGATTTTCTACACTATATTATGGGCCTTGGCCCTTCACCTAGGTTTCTTACTCTAAAAGGCGCTTAGTATCAGTGAGCTGCTTAACTATGGAGGCAGTGATACCATTGCCGACCACATATTTCATTTTTAATCCAAGTGTCACATCTGGTTTGGTGATCTATTGGTATTTTCCCTCGAGGTAAGTGTAAGGGGGATGAAGGACGGGATGTTCTACTAGCGTGCTTTAGGGACTTGGGTCATCATGAGTTAAGTGTTGGTTTTGGATTAAGCCAGATCGGCATATTTGCGTCTTGCTGTGGCACATATCTATGTAATCTGAATAACAAGAAATGTTAATGCTTGTTTGACTGCTAAAGTCATTTTTTGACAGTGTCCTAGTTTCCATTCTGTATAAAAATAATCCAGGTGATGCTTTCTGATGATGTTTCTTGCATAGTGGAATAATCTCGCCTCTGAATCAGAAGTTTGTGGGTTCAATTCTCACGCCTGGATTTAGAATCACATAATCTAAGATAACAGTCCAATACACCGCTTGGGGTGTGTTGCATTGTCAAAGATGCAATCCTTCAGGTGAGACGTTTAAACCAAGGTCCCTTCTGCTTGTTCAGGTAGACGTTAAAGATCCCATGGCACTATTCGAAAAGAGAAGAGAGTTTCTTCTGGTATCCTAGCCAGCAAATTCCCAAATAAAGTTGGTCATTCACTCCATGGAGTACAGTGTGTATAAAACCACCGAAAATCCATTCTCCTATGATCCCAGGCAGGCTTGTGCATCTTGGATAATTCAACATACATATTCATCCATGGCCTCAAATCTAGATTTGTCTTGGCAACTTTATGAGTGGAAGAGTTTTCAATTCAATTTTGGCTTTCTCACCTGTTTGGCATAATTAAGGGAAATGGTAACCTCGAGAGTATTGAATTTATGAACAATATGAGCACTTGATAAAGATCTGGGTTCCATTCTGTTAAATGTCAGAGAGTACAGACAGACATGATGAGATGGATCCTGGAAAAGGTTGAGTGTTTCAAGAGCCACTTAAATGTTTGTTTCCTTGGACTGTCTGTTCCTGGTGGTATGCCTTGCCTGGGTGATTAAAAACGTTCCCTTTTCTGCCTTTTAACTGGAGCTGTGCAGTAAATATATAGCTAAACTGGATAACGTATCCTTGTTTGCCGTATGGGATCTATTGCAAAGGTTCTGCGTTAGTTTTATTTTGCTGCTTTTGTATTTTCACCTGAAGGCTATGCATGGCATATTTTACAGTGTCAAATGAATTTGTTCGCTTGTTAGATATGTTGCTTGCAAAGACTATTGTACTTGTAATCAATCCAGTAAAAAAAATCTTAACTTTGATTTTCATTTTCTTTGGAGCTGTAGACTGTATTCTTTGAGTGAGTGGTAAACTGTATTTGCCTAGTGTCTTTGCCTTTCCACGCCCACCCTCCCAACCAAAACCAATGTATCCAAGGGTGGATGTCCTACTTTTGGGTCTTCTCAGTGAGATGTACTGCAGTAGCAATGGGTGTGGGGGGAGGAGAAATACTTGTGGAGCTATTGTGGGACATGTCAGATATGATATGGTATTATTTTGGTAAAATACTTCAGATGTTGAAGCTACAATGATATTGTCATCATTTAGTTCCCATTTTGATATTATGCCACAAATTGGCAAATGGTGCAACATGAGTTTTAAATGTAGTACCAGCTCCACAGCTGGAGCCCACACAGCACACACATACTGACTTGTCCTCACTTGCACTTAGAAAGTTTGAAGTAAACCAGAGCACCCAACATGTGTGGGCCATTTTACCCAGTTACACACCCTGAAATCTATTTACCACATGAGGCGACCCCCTCGGAAGACGCGATTCATGCTGTTAAGTCGGCCAGTTCCTATTTGCATTACTTTTCATGGTCCTGGTCAGCTGTTCTAAGGAGGCCAACTTTGTGTTAATGTACTAAAAAAAATTGGTGCCAGATTTTGGTTCATGCTGATGTAAATTTGGTGTCTTGTTCATACTATACTTCATACTATACTTGGAACGTCCTCCCGACGTGAAAGCCATTCTATAAATGCAATCTTGTTGTTGTTGTATACTCCAGTGGCATAAGTCAAATTTCTGGCCTCTGTCCTTTTGGGGATAAATATAAAACTTTAAAAAAATTAAGTATTGTGCAAAATATAAATAAATGGAAAAAACAGATGGGTGCAGTAGCAGATAAAGTTGTTTCCCTGTTGGTATGGAATCGTGTGTTTAAACAAATCGGGGAATTATAGAATTTTTTTATACCTTTTTAATTTTTCGAAACGCCAAGGCAACCTGCTATTTTTTTAAATATTGGTGCACTTTAAATTGGAATTGTGGCATTCATCTTTATACAACTATAGATTCTGCCATTATAATCTGAGCCTATAATTGTATACTTAAACTTGTTGCATAGCATGCCTGGTGCAGTGCTGACACAGGTACAGATTTGGAGTTCAGAGCTGTTTATTTCTAAATGATTGGACCCTATTTGAACTTCTATTATAGTGTGTCTGCATTTGATGAATCTGCCTTGTTTTCCAAAGGTTTTTTCTCTTCCAATTTCCTGGTGTTTCACAGGCTGCTCGGGAGCGGGTGAATGGACAAGATTAGGGCACATCACCACCAAACTCATTCTATCGTCTAATATTGGGATGTTCTCCTGACGTGAAAGGCGCGATACAAATGTAATTTGATGTTGTTGATATCCAGATATTCACTTTTCAATAGGGTTCGATGCAAGGCGATCAAGAGTGAATTTTCCTCAGGCCTCTCCGAAACATGGGGCCAAATGCAGCACTTTTACTGCTGCTCTAGCTGAGATCAGCATCTAATCACAAAACAGGAATCAAATCTACCCTTGGATCAATTTCACATTGAGTAGTCCTTTTACCAACTGAGCCATTGGTGAATGTTGCAAATCTTTGAGAGGATGAGCATTTACTGCACAAGATTCCTGAAACTCTACACTGGGTTCTGTGTCAATTTGGTATGAAAATGGCCAGCGCTATTCATGTGGAAGGGGAAAGGTCGATATCACCCTGATGCAGTGTGAAAATAAGGCAGAGCTTGCATTGAAAGTTTAACCAAATTAAGCAAATATATAGGGAATGTTATACAAATATATAGGGAATGTTATACTGACAGGTTTCGGACAGGGCAGGAAAAAATTATCTTGTCCCAGACGTGACATGAGCTCTTGTTTTTTGAAAAGGAGAGAAAATATTTATATGAATTAATTTTGCAACAATTAGTTTTGTTTTTCATTAATTAAACTTTGGTAGAAGCCTGATCGTAAACCGCTATTTTGCAAAAACTGTAATGATGTGAGGTGAAACTATAGCATTCTGTTTAGAAAATGGGACTTCTGGTCCTGGATAAACTTTTTGAAGTGAAATTAGACGTTTAAAATAAAAACATTCAATTTCCTTTCAGATGAAAAGGAAATTGAGCTTTGTGAATTGCTGCTGTATATGTGTTAAACAGTATAATTGGTAGTGAATTGATATGAATAATGTGGTGGAAGGGAAGGAGAAAACATTCTATGTAGTTTTGAATGATACACTTGTTGCATTTTGAAAGTTATGATTTTTTAAAAAATCCAATATTACGTAAAATGTAGATGTAAATACCTACTTCCATTCCAGAATATAGGAAAGCTTAGATGTATGTTATAAATCTCTGACCTTGGAGAATGGAATTGTTCCTTCAGAAACTTAAATTGTTTTGTAAGTATTCTCCCCACATCAAACATTGGACTCTCCTGGGCATGCTCGTGGCTATCCACTTGTGTGTTTGTAAGAAACAATATTTCACTGCAATTTTAAGTTAAACTTCCCTTTGGATTTGTACAAAATGTTGCAAGGGAGTTTCATTCTATTGTCCAGTTTCCAGTTAGAAAAAGGTATAATGTAAACCATTTGTATATTTGAACAATTCTTTTGCTTACTCATTCCCTTCAGCAATGGAGCTGGAAACCATACCTTTGAATTTAGCCATTGATGAGGGGTTATCTATGACCATAGTTTTTAAGTAAGCTTAAAAGTAATTTAGAATAATATATCCTTGCATTTGATTTCCTCTCATAGCACACACTTCCTCCTCCCCCCACTTAGCACATACTTCCTTTTCCTCCCACACTTTTATTTCTCTTAAGTGCGTATCCAGCTGAGTGAGCCGCTAAGAGAGAGACATAAGAGTGATTTGTACATGACTAATAATAATAATCCTTGCATTTGATATTACGCTTTTCATGTCGGGTGGACGTCTCAAAGCGCTTCACAGAACATACTGTAAAGTGAATTGACTGTATATTTGTGGGCGAACGCGGCAGCCAGTTGCGCACAGCAATTTCCCATAAACAGTCGTAGATTGAAAATGACCAATTTATTATTGTTTTTGGATTTGGAGGGATTATTATTAGGCGTGTGGAGTAAGGAAACCTGCCCAAGGTTTCGCCCTGCCTGGAATTGAACTCGGGTCTCTTGCTTGCAAAGCGAGTGCTCTAACCACTGAGCTACAGGACTCCACAGGACTATTTCAGTTTCCTCTAATCACTCCTCCTCTGAGGAGAGGAGTGGCTGGGCTTTACTCGGTGTTCCCTATAGTAACATGCCCATATGCATGCCCATGAACTTTAAATTCTACTTATAAAGAGTTTTGAATTTATGTTGTAAAAGTATGGTTGTTTACTCAATCCCATTATGGAGTTAAAAGAAAACTACCACCTGTTGACCTCTGATGTGACCTGGATTGAAGGTGTGAAGCAGGAAATTTATCAGCCTGGTATAAATGTCTGATGTGAATCTCCTGCTGTCTTCTGCAGAAGGCAAGCTGCATACGTTAAACTGGTAATTTAACACCACTCTGTGTATGACCTGAATTTGGGACACTGTATATATGCTAGAAGAACTCATTCTATTTTGTTCAGCTCTGCCATAACAGAATATAATTTTACGGGGCCTCTACAGTGTAAATTGGGGACCAGATATTGAACTATGCAATAACCTGGTACTTCAGTTGGTAGCTGGCTGCTGAACACCTGCATGTCATATCAGTTATGCATTGTGGATGAATTTTTGCTGTGAGTTGGTTTAACTATTTAAGCTAAATTGTGTTAGCAACTGGAGTGATCCTGTGCTGATCCATAAACTTGTTTAAATTATTCACGGGCTGATTGAAAATCAGAATAATTCATTGCGTGCTTTAACTGAATTTGACTTTAAATTGAGTTCTGAAAGAGAAAAATGTTTTTGTAGCTAACTTGGAGCTGATGTGTTCCCCCCCCCCCCCCGCCCCTTCACTGCTCATGGTGGAAGTCGGGCTTGTTTTTGTTGGAAAAAAGTTCTCAGTATGTTATCAAAAGGCAAAAGTTTTAAAGTTGAATATGTGTTATATGAATGAACAAAAGTGTTCCATAGTATGTTTTTGTATGTAAACTTCTCCGGACTCTGACCCAACTCCTATGTTCGATTCAAAGTCAAAAGCAGAAACTGGACAAGGAGTTAGGTTTCTATGAAAGCCCTTGTCTCTGGAGTTGCTGAATAGGTTTGCTTATGTGATGGAAACAGGCCTGTGATAGTAGGAGTAATAGGAGAGGGGTTAGGGGTAATGAAGGGAATCATACATAGAGAATGCAGTTGTTAATTGTATAAGTAAGCCAGCACATTTAATATACAAGTGTAATTTCTGGCCTGAGAAGCACCTATCTAGTTTAGGAATGGAATATACATTTAATGCATTCTAATCTAATGCAAAACAGCAGTGTCTGAAAGAAGCGGCCATGCATGCTTATAACAGCCAGAGCCCTGCGCAAAACCCTCTAGCTTACTGTTGTGACCTCTGCCCTTTTGTATCCTGTGACACTCAGCCTGTCTTTGTACTGGAGTTTATTCATGATGGATAAGTTGCCCCCAATCACATATGCTGTGCTGCGAAAGAGGAACAGATAAATTATTTTCAGCTGCAGTCAATCCTTGGAAAAAGGAATGTAGTAGTGAGTCTAAAAGGAGCCTGTTTCAGTGGAGGCCCCTATGGCATTATGGGGACAACCTGCAATCTCAAACAGCTCTTTCAATGAGAGATGTGCTGGATTGACCCTTTTAAAACCTTTTTAATGTAAAACAATGTAGGAAATGACTAGGTTTGTTAATCAGTGACTGCAGAAACTGGGAAGAAATTTGGGTCTTAATAGTTGTCAGTTGTAGCTATTTTTCTGTTCCTCAGCATGTCGCCATTGGGCCCCACCCTTTGGATCCTCTGGTAATTTAGCCCCAGCTTTATGGCAAATGTAATTGCCTGGAGACCTCTTGATGGCTGGTAGTGATATTGCCCTGTTTCCCCCTTCTTCTCCTCCCCCACCTACTTCTCCATCCATTTTCTTGTTAATCTGTCATAGTGTGTTGTGATTAGTTCACTGGTTTAGCACAAAGCATTAAATGCTAAAATATGAGCCTGCCTGTTTTCAGGCTGGTGACCTTGCAGAAATGTAAACGTTTTCATGACAATCACATCCCCATCAGCTAAAATTCTACTTTCTCTGTGTGAAAACATTGCTTTCTTCCGGTGCCAGGGATTAAGGATCATTGCACCTTAAATAAAAAAATTGGGTCAGTGAGTACAGTGGGGGCAGATGGTTGTGAAGCTGCTTTGCTCCATGCTGTGTAATTGTACTTGTGAATGTCATAGCTGACCAGGATGTTCTGAAATGGTGTTGAGCAATGTACAGTGCCAAATTGAGAGACAATGACAACATCGATGCTATTCATTCAAACTTGTGGTGAGGTAGTTATAGTTGAAATACTCTAGTTTCCTATTGTTCCTGTTGATTTAAAAAATGGACGGTTCACTGTCCATTCCTTTCAGGCAAGGGTAAAGGTATGGTTTATTTTGATGGGGTGGGGGAGGGATGGGTGTGGCAGAAAATATGTCATCCTTGCTCAAAAAGAATGATCAGTCAAGTAAACTGCAAGCAATAACTTAGTCTTGAGAAGATTTAATGTAGCTGTGATACAGAAATAAAAGGAGTAATTATATTGCAGTGTTCTTCAATTTTCTCTCGTCCTTTTGTACTGTGAGGACAGTTGTGATGGCTCTGACTTTATGGAGGTTGAGCTGCACTAGTAAATGGTCATCCTGCTGTTTAGCTTTGTCTGAATGGTAAAGGGATAGTGAAAGAGTAATCTGCCAGAGACTCCAGCTGGAATACGCTCGCACTTAGTCACAAATGGAGCTTGTTACATCACTGGTAATCTGTTTGTCTCGGGGTGAGTGATGAACCCTGTGGCTGCGCTTCCTTTGTCAGGATCATTTAGAAAGTGTGGCCTGGATCTCCAGTGTAATGGACACTGAGGTGGTTGTTCTATATCTCAATGAAGTCAGAAATTGTTTCATGGACTGCTTCATTTTTAGCATCAAGATATAAAGGCAAATGTTAATGTCTGTACACTTGTTTGCCAGAGAATTTAAAGTTACTGTAAATGTGTCGCAGAGATGTTTATTTGAAATATTAGTCAAAACTGGAAGTAGCTTTTAGTAACCGTTGAGTTTCAACAAATGCAGAACTAATTTGAAAGTAAATCTAAGGATAAATCGAGATGGAAGATTTTGAAAATGTATTTTGTTGGATCAGCTATACATTTAAGTAGTCACATTTTAAATAAGGTTTTTAAAAATTCTTTGACACACTTTTCCTACAAATCCTTTGGTCTCTCCATCTGAACTTAGTGCATCGTTGCATCAATAATTCTGCTTATATATCTGATTGTCGCTCTTGGGGATGGTAAAGGTTAAGGACATAGTGGAGGAGGTTGGAGCATTTGTTCGGCTCTACTCTAGCAGATGGGGTGCTCTGCTATATTCATACAGCTGCCTGCCTGGTGTGGCGGCAGCTGCTGTGGCTGCAGTTCATGTCCTTTTGTTCTTTTGCAACCAAGAATGTAGAACTGGGGAGTGTAATGAAGAATGAAATAATGGGTCAGGTTAGTGCCTGCATCGGTTATGAATAATCTATTGTGTAGGATGCGCTTGGTACAAACTTTTAAGCAATGCTTCATGTAAATACTTTGAGAATTTACCCAAAGGATTGCAGTTTTGCTCGTATGATCTTATTTTTAAACTAAGAAAGCTTAGTATATCCTCTTGTGTTAGTGCATATGAGAAGGAGTTGTGGGAAGGTATATCTTAAAGCGGCTTTATTGTTTTTTATATATATATATATTGTGTGTGTGTGTGTCACATCATTCATTCCATTTGTCCCCAATTTTATTTTATTTTTCATTTTTTCCATAGGACCTGTAACCAGACTTTGCCTCACACTGAATTGTCCAAAAGAATTAAGGAAATGTGGAGTGACATGCAGTTGATTAGTCATAGGATTTAAGGCTTTGAGGACATACACCTCGAAGGGAAGCGAGTGAGGTGAAGCAGAGAATAGTTCACTTTTTGTGCCACGGGGGGAGCTGTGAGCACAAGGAAGATGGCAGATCCGGGTATGATGAGTTTATTTGGTGATGATGGGAACATTTTCAGTGAAGGGCTTGAAGGTCTTGGAGAATGTGGTTTTTCAGAGAATCCAGTGAATGCTCTTGGGCAGCAACTACCCATGGATCAAGGATTTGGCTCCATGCAGTCTCCCCTCCATCATCCCCCACCCACTCAGACTCAAACGAAGCTGACTCATTTTGATCATTTTGGTCCGTTTGAACAGCAGAAAATGCATCTGGTAGATCAGCCTAATCGAATGATTGGTAATGCTCCTGGGAATGGCATGGCGTCGCCTCACTCACAGTACCACAATCCCCCAGTTCCACCGGTTCCTCACAGTGGTGCTCAGATGGGAGTTTACCCAACTATGCAGAACGAAAGGTGTGCACCGCAGTTTGTGGATAGCAGCTCCATGTGGGGACCACGTGCTGTCCAAGTTCCAGACCAGATTCGACCTGCCTTCCAGCAACAGCAGCAGCCACCGCCACCACCTCAGGGGCAAGGGCATGCTCAGCATATGCAACAGATGGGGAATTACCTGACTCGTGATTATACATTGCAGCAGCACAACCAGCCTCAACAGCAGAGGGTGAACCAATTTGCTCAAGGTCAGGAGGCCCTCAGTCAGGGAAATCCCTTCATGGGAACCTCAGGACCAGGCCACTTATCTCATATGCCCCAGCAAACCCCCAACATGGGCCCTTCCTTGCGTCATGCTCCAACTCCGCAATATCACCCTCATCCCCCTCCACCTGGCACTCTCCATGGGGATTCAATTGCTCACAGTCCTAGATTCTCCCCAAATCCATCTCAGCAACCCAGTAGCAGGCAACAGAACATAACCTTTACTTCACGTAGCCAGGCAGTACCTTCACAATCTGTAAGTAGCTCAGGGCAGTATTCTCAATATCCTTACAGTAACATTAATCAGGGATTAGTTAACAGTAATACAGGGATCAATCAAAACCTAGGCCTTAATAATAACCCTTCTGTGAACCAGTCAATACCCCGTTATCCAAATACTGTGGGATTCCCAACTGGCACAAGCCAGGGACTAATGCACCAGCAACCTATACATCCAGGTGGTCCGCTCAACCAAATTAATGCACAAACTATGCACCCCACACAGTCTCAGGGAACATATGCTTCTCCACCTCCAATGTCGCCTATGAAAGCTATGAGTAACCCAGCAGGTACCCCTCCCCCACAGGTTAGGCCTGGCAGTGCTGGAATGCAGCTGGAGGTTGGAAGCTATCCAAACATACCTCTGTCTCAACAGCCACATCAGTCCCCAGGCACCATGGGACTTGGACAGAGGACCATGGGACCCAGAAACATGCAGCAAACACAACAGTACATGAGCCCTTCTCCTGTGCCACGGGACATTGGCAGCCTTCCAAGACCAGTCGGGGCACTGGGTCCCAGTGGGAATCATGCAGATCAGGTGATGCAGGAACGTTTATTACCTAGCCAACAGCACCCAAATCAGCCTTTTCAGCCTCAATTGCCAACCTGTTCACCCATGCAACAGCATGCAGCAGTGCATCATCAAACTTCTCCTACACCACATCAGCATCAACCGTGGATACAGTCACAGCATTCATCACCTCAGGCTGCACCACAGCAAGTGCCTGTCCAGCAACAGGTGAGTGATCGATCTGAATTGAAGCACACTTTAAACAATCCAGCTGTCAAATGTGATTGATCAACCTGTGCATCTTAATAGTTTTTAATGCATAAAGTTCTCAAAATACGTATGTTGGATTATTTTAGCATAGAACAATTGCATTGCATATTGCAGTCTCTACTATGCAGCTTGGAGTCATTGCTTATTTAACTGTAGAGTATACATCAGATCACATTAAAGTTTTAGGAATGCTTCAAGGAAATCTCCAGGCAGTTGGCTAATTTAAAATGGTCAAACCTATTTCAAAGTGTACATCAAAGTGTGGATCATTTGTAAAATTGATTTTACCCATGTGAGATTTGGTATTAAATGTTGTAATTATCAGGGTGAGTAAGAATGAAGCAATGTTCCACTATGCGATTGATGTTTGCTAATGCTTATGCTTGTAGTGCCAACTACAGTTTGTCTCGGTTTTGTTCTGTGAAACAAATGGTTTTGTGAAATTTTGGGTTGACTAAATCAACTCTTTCCTTCGTATCCTACTCTTAAAGACTTTTTCTTAAAGTCTCCATAGCTTAAAAAAGTTGCCATTTGTGCAATTAAGTACTTGCAAATTTAAACGTGCAGTATTAATTGATTCAGGCTTTCTCTTTAAAGGAACATATTTGTTGCTGAAACGTTACTCATTACACTTTCCAATGAAAGTATAAAGAATACACATTAAGTCCCTAATCTTTTACTCCTTTAAGAATGTCAATGTAGAAAAAAAACTTAACCCAACTTGCAAAAATCGCATTGCCACAAAAATTCAACATGTTGCACAACATGCTTTCCTGGCAGCTATTATGGCTTGTTCTCCAAAATGGAGTACACAGAGCAGGATGCTTCAGGGTGTAGAAACTGAACCTAAAGCTCCATGTCAAGGTTAAATTCTTAATTTACCTCATAGGTGATTCAAAACCTTCAAGTGAAAAAATATATCAAATATGTCTATGTGTCCACAATCATGTTGGATATTCTACTAAATATCTAGTTTGCTGTTTAATTAAATGAAATAGTCCTCTTCTATGAAATCTAGAAAAATGGAATCCTATAATTCTCTGTTACCATTTTAACTATAAAAAATCTTCTCACCTTTGTCCCAGATGTCAGTTTTGACTTCCAGGATTTTAATTTGAAAAATATACAGCACTATAATTTACAATTAATCCTGTAAAGCACTTTCAGAAATTTTGATAAGGTGCTGTATTAAATGCAAGGATTATTTTTATTAAAGCAGAACCTTCTCCCAGAAGGTTTTCTGTCTAAAATGATTTGCTGAGGCTAGCTGTTAAGAGCAGAGTCAAATGGGGGTATTTTAAAAAGAATTGGACATGAACATGCTGAGGAAAAGTATTAAGAAGGTACAGGGAAAGACTAGGGGATTGGGATTCATGGCTTCTTTGAGGAGCAATCACCATTATGAAAAGAATGATTGAATGTTTTCTTCGGTGTCATACATTTCTATGGTTATATGTATTTAGAATTGGTGCTCATGATTTGCCTTGAATTGGAAAAGTAGAAAGAAGGTTGGTGATGGAAAAGGGCATATTATTAACAATGGGTTGGGGTCCGTTGGACTTTGTAGCAGGGAGATTCTCCTTTGGAATTATCTTATTGATACCTGTTTAGCCTCAAGAATTAGAATCTAAAGCTTTAACATGAATGTGCTGGGATGCAAGTCCAAGCCTGGTGTCCAGGTAGACATAATAGGGGTCCCTGTGTTCTGAGTGCTCAATTGATGAGGTTCATGAATTTGACCCTGTGCACCATGAAATAACTAATGCAATTTTACTTGTATATAAAGTTGCTTTATGAATGTGGAATTAAATTATCTGTATAAAATTGTATTACAGCTATTTCTGAACACATGGGGACAAATTCAGAAAACTTGCCAAAAGGAACACAATAGAAGTTATCCAACAATTCATTATTAATTGCATAAAACAGAATAACCTTGGAAATAGATTTGTTGATGCCAATTGCTATGCCACAATCGTAATTGAGAAAATTAATATGTGAATAATAAATAAATAATCCTTGCATTTGAAACAGAACCTTTCAAAAAAGACATTTCAAAGTGCTACACTGAATTTACCGTAAAGTGTACTGACTATTGTATATTTTGTAGGCAAACATGGAAACTAATTTGCACACAGCAATGTCCTACTATTGGTCATGTAGCTACCCCTGGAAAGATACATTCCCTAATCTTTTACTCCTTTCAGAAAATTTATTTGAATGAATGACATTTATTGAAAATCTATCCCCACCAAAACAATATTGCAGTAAGCAATGACAGCTTGCAGGATAGCTTCTTGGAGTGCTATATGTTGGGGACATACAGCAGGCTTGCATTAGTAGAGTGAAGGGGGCAGGCAGAAGAGTGGGGTACAGGTCACAATTAGGGAGCTGCTAAGGTGTGAAGGGATTTTATGTGATGCTGAGGATCTTGAAATCGATCTGTTCAGAGACGGGAGTACTGTGGAGCCTAATCAGGATTGGGGTAATGGAGGTGCACAGTTTGGTGCATGTAAGGATGTGTGCAATGGAATTTTGTATCAGTTGGACGTTGTAGACGGTGGAATGGAGGAGACCAGCAAGGGGTGCATTTGTGAAATCAAGTGAGGAGGTGTGCGGTTGAGTCGGATATGGGAAGTGTGGCGCAGTCCTGATCAAGGACCGAATGTGGGATGAGAAGCACAGCTGGGGATTGAACAAGATGCCAAGATTATCAACCAGTTTGGTGACAGAGAGAGGCCAGTGAGGTTGGATCCAAAGGAGGTGAGACATTGGTGGGAGCCAAGGAGGATGGCTTCCAACTTGATCATTTTAAGTAGCTATTCTGTCTAACAAACTGTTGTGCGACTGAACAGTGGACCTGGAATCACGGTGGGAGGCAGAAGATATATTTGTATATCATCCGCATATATGTAGAAGCTGATTTGCGGATGAACATCGACAAGAGGAAGATGTAGATGAAGAAAAGAAAGCAGCCATGCCAGACCAGGAGGAGAAACCACCGGGGAAGTCGACTAGAGGTGGTGGGTAAAGCAGGAATTGAAACAGGAGAATGCGGTGCAATGAAGGTGGATGAGAGAGGAGAGGGAGTCAAGGAGGATAGAATGGTCCACACTGTTGAAAGCAGACATGCTGATGAGGCACAGAGAGAGAGTGAGTTTGTCATTGGTAACTTTGACAAGGGACTGTCTAAGTGTTGTAGGCAGGGTGGAAACCAGATTGGAGGGGCTCAAGCAGGGAATGGAGGGAAAGGTGGGGAGAAAATTTGGGTGACAGTAACATGTTCCAACAAGTTCCAAGATTTTTGATATGAAGCATAAATTATACCAGCGTGTGCAAAACCGTATGTAATGAATCTGTCAAAAGTATCTACATTCAGTGAAATTTAAATTTTAGAACATTATACTTTTTAAAGAAACCAGTTTTTTGCAATGATAGGTTAAATTGAAATGCTAAGTACCAAGAGTGGTCCAATGTCAAACTTATGATTAAATATTGCTGACTACATACACACTTAATAAAGAAATTAGGCTAATCCTTATAGTTGTAGATGTTATGTATTAGAACAACCTGCAGGGATTATATTATTATAAAGTGGTACCATTTGTTGCATTGCGGTCAGACTTTGTGAATTGATCAAAAATCATTAATTCATCATTTAGCACAGTTTTGGGGCTATATAGGTGCAGTATTTATACATGCTGGTAATATGGAGGTGTAAAGCATTCTAAAAGTTTCACATGCCATTGTATTAGATTTGGGATCTAGTTTAAAGCAACCTATATATTTAGCAGCAATCTGAATTTTTCAGTGTTTCTTCAAACCTTTACAGAGTATGTGGAATCTAAAGAAGTAAAGTTAAACTATACATTGCCTACAACATTGAAATGTTTTTAAACCCTTCCATTATCATGGTGACTACATGTTTGCACTTGCAGACACTGTAAACATAAAATGCAAATGGTCAACATTTTCTGTCTATCAGATAATATAGATGCATTTTTGAACTATCATTCGTTATGTTTGAAATGGGAAGTGAGCTAAATCCTTTAGGGTGATTAGGATCAGTTTTGTTTTCCCTTCAACTGCTTGAGGATGTAATGTTTCTCCCCACCCCCGTCCAGCTCCTAAGAAACAAAGAGGCCGCATGCATTCTTGTGAGGAAGAGATTTCTAGATTTGCTTTTAAGTATGTGGGCCCTTGGGCAAAACTGGCTTTGTTTGAAAAGATGGATTTAGGAGCTACAAGTGGCATTGGTCAGATCCTTGTTAGGACAATTCTGTCACCTCAGGTACTAAAGAATGACTGAAGTAATTTGTGCCATTCATTATCTTATGAGGCTGGTTGAACCCAGTTTGCCATATTAGCATGAAAATACAAGTTTGAAGCCTTCTGATTTGGTGACCTCTGCTTTTACCTGATAGGCCATGACCAGTTGTAGAGGTGAAGATTGCTAGTCTGAGTGGACAGAAAATCCTGGCATGGATTATTTCTGAATGATGGACGCTAATCTGGGGGTTTTAAAGTTTTAAGTAACTTCAAAGTATGCTGTTGCGACATAAATTTGTATTCATGATTTCATCAAGTTTCTGATCTTGACTGGATTTGTGGTTTGTGAGGGCATTACATTGTTATCCAGGAGGATAGTTGGTGAGCAAATGTGTTGGGTCATACATGTGCATGCTAATGATTGGTTAGAGTGCAATTGGCAGAGACCTGAGAACTTGATACTTGTCTGCCCTTGGCTAGGTAATTGGAGGTGATGGCTAAGTAACTTAAGGATGAGGGAAGAGAATTAAAAGAATATAGGAAATTATTTAAATCAGCATCTAAATTCCCCCCTTTCTGGATTATGTAGACTCTGTAGTCAAGAAGGTACGTTCAGGTGCTCTTTCTGTGAAGTTTTGATCCAGGCACTTATATGTGCAAGAGCACCTTTATCAAATCCTGTAGAGATC